GGGAGATCTCCGCTAACCGAAGATTGGTCTCTGACGTCAAAGGGATCTGGGGGAGAGCAGAAGGGATAGAAAGGAGGAAAACAAGAGCTTGTCCGGGAGGGAATAAACAGATGGAGGTCTTAAGATGGCCAGCTCTCCCAAACCAGAAGCAGAGGAGGCGAGATTTCTGAGGATTTAGTTTCCTGTGCTGCCTGGAAAGGGGGATTGTGAGAATCAGGTCTTGGAGATTTCCTTGATCCCTTCTAGATTGGATGCAGAGCTTAAGCTCCTTTGGCTTAGAATAAATCAGTGTTTCTCAACCTTGACCATTTTAAGGCATGTGGACTTCAACTCCCAGAATTCCACAGTCAGCAATGCTGGCTGTGGAATTCTGGGAGTTGAAGTCCACATGCCTTAAAATGGTCAAGGTTGAGAAACACTGGCTTTAGATGGAAGAAAGCAGATTTGGGTGGATCTTGACAAGCGTTTTTCAACTTTAAGAGGTCTGGACTTCAACTCCCAGAATTCCCCAGCCAGCTAATTCTGGGAGTTGAAGTCCAAACCTCTTTAAAAAGTTGCCACGGTTGTCTCCTCTCCACCCTGCTTTGTGTGTCCCTTCCTGCCTTTCCCCTTTGTGTAGGGTGGCTGTGGGGGGGGGCGGGGAGGGGCCGTTTCCCTTGACAGCCCTCCCTGCAAGGCTGCCTGCTGCAGTTTGTCCCAAGATCCCGGAAAGAGAATTATTAAAAAGGAGGCAGTCTGGAAACCCTAACCTTGGGCTTTTCCCGGGTGATGTGTCGTGGTGACCTGCTTCCCTTCTGAAAAAAAAAAATAATAATAATGAAAAGATCTGTGCTATTTGGCAACCGAGACAAAGAAGCTGCTGAGAGCAGATCTGGGAGGAGGGAGGGGGGCTCCCCAGCCAAGGACCCCCCAGTCAATCAAACCTATCTGGCTGGCTTTTTTTTTTTTTTTTGCATATGGTAATTACCATCTGTGCTGGATGTTCCGGGGAGAACAAAGGGATGATTTACATTCAGACACCAAGAAGAGGGAATTCCGGGGAGGGAGGGAGGGAAGGAAGAGAAGGCTGAAGCACATCAAAACGACACGCATGCATGTATGAAGATGGAGAGAAGAAGGGGGGGTGTCCTTCTGCAGCTGGTGCTCTTGTTCTCCTTAAAGGAGGCCCCCCCTCCCTCCCTTTTCTCTCTTTCCCCTTTGCTTTTCAATCGCACTGTCTTGGGTGGGTGCCCAGCGGTCTTTTAGGTGCCACCAGTGGGGGCGGGCGCTTTGCGCACGGGGAGGTGTGCGCGGATGTCGTGACTTGCAGGGAGATAGCCTGCTGGTAAGGAAGCCTTTTGTGGCTCGGGCCAATCTGGAATTTCGTGACTGGGTAGCATAAAGAAAGGCTGGGCGATCGGCGATGGAAGAACAGGCTGCAGAGATTTAAAAAAAAAAACCACAGGTTTTAAGTGATGCTCCCCAGTGTTGGGGACCTGCGGTTTAAGGCCCAGGAATCTCCTGGCTGGTCCAGACCAACAGTGGTATCCCCACTTTCCTGCCTTCCTCTCAGGGCTGCGTTCTGTCTGCAGCCCATGGGGGTCCTTTGTTTGGGGGGGTCCTTTGTTTGTTCCTTGACACACGTTAATCCGGCGGTCCCATTTATTGGTGGCGAAGGCTGTTTAGGACCCATCTTCCCCTTCTGAGCACAGGGTGGTCAACTTAGATAAGCATCAGTGGCAGGAAGGGAAAAAAACGTGGAGGTTTTGAATTTCAGAAAGCAGAATTGGGGAATCACTTTCCCCAACCCTGCTGCCCCCCCCCCCCAAATTGTACTGGATTGTTATTTCCATCAATTGTGCTGGCTAAGTGCAATGGGCATTATAATCCGGCATTCCTGCAGGGGCATTAAGTTAGGGGAGACATATTTTTTTCCCATCGCAATTCTGCACCCTGCCAGGATGGCGTTTAGGGTCCATTAGTGGCTTTTAGGCCCACAAGGAGACGGAAGCTCTTTGTGTTGCTTTGTGATCCAGGCTTCATTTGACTTTCCCCGAGCCCTCCATCCATTTTGATGTGTTTTGGAAAGCCTCTCAGCGGCCTCATCTCTCCTTAAGCATCTGGTTAGTGTTTGGGGATAGAGTGCCCCCGTAACTGAAGGCTCCACTCCTGGTTAAGTATCAGAAAAGAAAAAAAAAACCTTCCCGAATTTTGTGATCCTTTGTGATTAACCTTGCTGGATTTTAAAGCTGGGCGAGTAAAGTCGGTTTGGAATCCAGAAACTTAAGTGGTGCTTTGAGACCTCTGATCTAAAAAAAAAACCATGCACCTTTCAGTTTGCGTTAATAAGTACAAAAGGAAGAAGCAGATATGTAAAAGTATGCAACACCTTCTCTTTCGGCAAGGAGGGGCGCCCTCTGCACGTGCTCGGGTGCCCTCTTGCTAGAATAGGACTTAGTTTTTTCTTTAGCTCCCTCCCCCCACCCTGTTTTACATGAAAAAAAAATGAGTTTCTTTTCTCCAAAAGTCCTACTCAGTTGCTTGGGCTGCCTCCCCACCCCAATTTTTTTCCTACCTGGTGTCCGAAACTCACCTCCCCACCCACCTCTTCCTCCCGTAGATGCCCCGACCGCCTCTGAAGGCCACCCACCTTTCCTCAAGCTGCCGTTCCCACGGGTTTCTCAGAAACCTCCCTCCCATCCGCGCTTCCGTCTTTGCAGTGAGGCGGGGGGGGGGAGGAAGGCTAGAAAGGCAGAAGTGGTAGAAGGTTTTTGCAATAAACTTGGGGTGTTTTGAGCTGGAGGCAGGGATAACGCACAATCCGGCCGCCTCTCTCGTTTTTGCTGACGTTTTTGCAGAGGCGAAGGAAGATGGGGGGGGGTTGTTTGTTGCTGATCGTGCGCTGACAGGAAGCAGGGAGTTGTGCAGAAGGGCGATTCTCCGTCAGCGAAGACGGGAGAGGTCCTTTTGTCGTTGTGCTTTGTGTTTTCGGAAGCTGGAGGTTGCCATCTGGCACCTTCCGAGGGCTGGTGATGAATCATTTGCTGCAGACCTTGTTGTCCTCCATCCCTTGTGTGCATGGTGCTGCTGAGGGATATGGCAGTCCTCCATGAGATCTAGCCGCTTGCTTAGTGCATGTGGAGGGGTTTTTTTGAAAAAGTGGCTCAGCTGCTCTAGGCTTGCTTGCAAACGGGATCAGGAGCACCCCAAGACGTGCTGGGTGGTGCCAAAGCCCTGTTTGGCGTACCTTTCCCAGTCCCTTTACACCAGAGGTGGCAGTGCCTAAGAGATAAATAGATACACACACACACACACCAGCAGCAGCATGAGCCCTCAGTGCACAAGTCAGCCCTTGTGGCCTTTTCCCCTTCCCAGATTTGGGGAGGCCATCCTATGAAAAGTTTCATCCTGGTTTGAAGGTGGCTTCTTCTTGCTTCTCCTCTTCTGTAATACCTCAGTTCTGACGTCAAAGGCCACTGCCTAGTTTTTTTTGTTTTTTCTTTCTTTCTTTCTTTCTTTCTTTCTTTCTTTCTTTCTTTCTTTCTTTCTTTCTTTCTTTCTTTCTTTCTTTCTTTCTTTCTTTCTTTCTTTCTTTCTTTCTTTCTTAAAAAAACACCCTTCAGCTACAGGCCCCACCTGGTTCAGCAAATATTGACTGCTCTGGGGTTTCCTAGCCAGTCTTCATCCGCTAGGCCACGTTGTCCTCTCTCCTCTTCTGAAGGCCCATCGGGTATATTATGGTCTGTCTTTAAATTAGTCCACCTCAGCTGAACATTGCCTCTTGTTCTGCACTCCATAGCTGACTGGAAGGAGAAGATCTAGGTACAGGAATGGGGAATTATGGGCCTTTTATGGCCTGTGGACTTCAACTCCCAGAATTCCTGAGCCAGCATGTCTGCCTCAGGAATTCTGGGAGTTGAAGTCCACAGGTCATGAAGGGACCATAGTCCCCCCCCCCCCGTCTAGGAAGACAGCTTTGACCAGGGTCTTGTATTTTCTTGAATATCTTATTTTAATTATTAAATGTGTTTGCCACCTATCTTGCTTCATGCAGGCAAGTCTTGATTGATGCAAAACTGCAGCTTACTTTACTGGGTGATGAGTCTCTTAGTTTGATGATTATGCTACCGTAGCAGTGCACCAAAGGCAACTGGAAATAATAAAATAATACTAATTAATAAATGAATACATTTGTATTTCATAGCAAATAATGAAGTGTTCCCACAGATCCACTAAGCCAGGGGTCTTCAAACTTGGCCCTTTTATGACTTGCGGACTTCAGCTCCCAGAATTCCTCAGCCAGCGGTGGCTGGCTGAGGAATTCTGGGAGTTGAAGTCCGCAAGTCATAAAAGGGCCAAGTTTGAAGACCCCTGCACTATTAGAGTGCTGAAGCCCCTTCTCTCCTAAGAAAGGACCCAAGAAATCTTAAGGCATGTTTTCAGGTGTAGGTGGTCCTTGACATACGACCACAATGGAGTCTTCCCATTACAGTTGTCGGTAATGACAGTCGTAAAACAGGACGGTCCTGTGACCTATTTTAATTTTCCGACTTTTTTTCTGGAAGTTGTTAAGTGAAGGCTGCAGTCGGGAAAAATGTTGCAAAACACAGTCACGTTACCGCTGAACACTGCAAACGGCTGTAAATGTGGCTGTGTGGCTGAGTGCCCAAAGTTTGGTCACGTGACTGTGGAGGGGGCCTGACCGTCAGAAATTTTGAAACTTTTGAGTAGTAAACCCCATTTTTCAGATCAGTGGTGACTTCGAAATATCACTAAGTGACCCGTCATAAGTCAAGGACTACTTCGATAGCATTTGCAGGTGTAGTGTTGTAACTGCAGTAACTTAAGGTTTACTTATTGGTTTATTTTAATTTAATCCTGCACCGGGTAGCACTTAATTTCCATCCACCACTCGTTTTGGGGGGGGGGATGTCCAGGAATAGCTTTGTGCCCAGTTGAAACTCCTGGCTTAAAAATCAGCCATCTGATCTAACCACTCCGCCTGCTGTTCTCTTTTCCAGGTAAACGACTTCCTGTCCGGGAGGTCCCCCCTGACCCTTGCCCTGCGGGTGGGCGATCACATGATGTTTGTCCAGCTGCAGCTGGCAGCTCAGCAGAACAGCGGGCAGCTCCAGCATCGCCACGTGATTGCCAGCCGCGGAGAACAAGCTGGAGGCGCCACACCTGCCACACCGGTGCCGGCGGCCGGACCAGCTGCTTCCAGTTGCCGCACCCTCCCTGGGAGCAGCCCCGCCTCCCCCACTTTTGCCCGGCTCCCCACGGCGCCCGCTTGCCCGCCAAGCCCTGTGCCCAGCCCTGCTGCTTCTCCGTCACCAATGCAGACTATGCCTCTCTACTGTACCACCGCTAACCCGACTCCCGTCACGGCAGGGATGTTCCATTCACATGGAGCCAGCGCACAGACGGTCAACGGAGGGGGGAGCGGCAGCGTCATGTCTTCGTGTTCAGAGGTCAGTTATGGGGTGCTTTGTGGGGTGGGTGTTGAAACCAATGAGGGTGGAGCATGAGCAGAAAACGCTGAAGCTGGACCTTTGGGTGTGGAGTCCCGACCCATGGCCGCTTTTGAAGGCACCAGTCTAGAAACCAGGCGACAGAGTTCTAGTTCATCCTTAGGCATGAAACTCAAAATAGTTGACTTTGGGCCATTCATCAGGAGACAGAGAGTTCACTCTCCAGGTGACTCAGGGCGGATTTGTGAAGATGCTGTCCTTAAGGATGAACATCACAAGCCCACCGTAACCTTTGTCCAAAGAAGAGGCTTAGAGCAGGGGGTCTTCAAACTTGGCCCTTTTATGACTTGTGGACTTCAACTCCCAGAATTCCTCAGCCAGGCACGCTGGCTGAGGAATTCTGGGACTTGAAGTCCGCAAGTCATAAAAGGGCCAAGTTTTTGAAGACCCCTGGCTTAGTGGATCTGTGGGAACACTTCACTATTTGCTATGAAATACAAATGTATTTAGTGTTATTTTATTATTTCCGGTTGCCTTTGGTACACTGCTACGGTCGCATAATCATCATGACTGGATGGTGGGGAATGGGAGGATCTATACCAGGGGTCTTCAAACTTGGCCCTTTTATGACTTGTGGACTTCAACTCCCAGAATTCCTCAGCCAGGCACGCTGGCTGAGGAATTCTGGGAGTTGAAGTCCACAAGTCATAAAAGGGCCAAGTTTGAAGACCCCTAGCTTAGAGCTTCAGGTTTTCTGTTCTGTTTTTCTAGCTGCCTCAGAATAAGGCATCCAATCTTCTATCCCTGTTTTCATTTGAGAGAGCAGGAAAAAGCTGGCTTCAGGCCTTTTGTGATCATGAGCCCATGTCTGAAAAAAGGTTCGGGGAAGGTTCTCACGAGTCTCCAGCCCATCTTCGTCCCTGCTTAGCATCTGTTCTTTGACTTTTGCAGGTAGACTGCGCCTCAAGAAGTAAAAGTTCGCCCAGCACCAGCCCCACACAGGCCTCTCGGACCCGCAAACATGGCGCTGTGATAGAAAGCTTTGTTAACCACGCCCCTGGGGTTTTTTCGGGAACGTTTTCTGGTATGTCTGTGTTCCATTTCTCTTGTCTGCCCCATAAGAGGAAATATGGGTTGATGGTAATACATGCAAGCTTCAGAGTCCCATACATGCAAGCTTCAGAGTCCCACAGGGGCTCTGGCTGGGGAATTCTGGGAGTTGAAGTCCACCCATCTTAAAGTCGCCAAGGTTGAGAAACAGTGGATTAGTTAGAGCAGTGGTTCTCAACCTGTGGGTCGGGACCCCATTTGGGGTCGATCGACCATTTCATGGGGGCCACCAAGCAAGGCTGTCCGCCATTTTTTTTGTCCGCCATTTTTTTCCCCCTTTTCCGGCGGGTGCCTTACCTCCCTTGGGCTGGGCCAGCTGGTGGTCGGCCTGCTCCGTCTCTGCCGCTTGCCAGCTACGCCTCGGCCAGCGCAGGGGGCAGAACCACGCATGCGCAGCGCTCCCGGGCAGGGAAAGTCCTCGACTTACGACCGGTTGGGTAATCCTCGACTTACGACCGGTTTAGTCCTCGACTTACGACCGGTTTAGTCCTCGACCTACGACCGGTTGGGGTCGCGGCATTAAAAAGGTGGAGAACCACTGAGTTAGAGAAACTAATCAAATTTCCAGTGCTAGCCTAGGTTTATATTCTCCCAGGAAATACTGCAGCTGCATCTGACAGGTTTATCCTTATTTAAGCTAAAGGAGTTTTTGTTTTTCGCCCCCAGCCTGTGGAACTCATTGTCTCTTGATGGCTGCAGAACCTGTTCAGCTTGCAAAAGATGCCGTTGTTATCATTAGGCCAAACAGCAGTCCATCCATGATAAATGGAGACTTCAAAATTGTTCCCCCCCCCCCATTTTTTTTAAAAGAAACCTTCTATAGAAAAAGTTCTGCTGTAAGTGAAAATAACATTTGGCTTAAAGAAGAAAAAAAAGTGGCATGTTTTGCTTTCTATTACAAAAAAGTTGAATAATAACTTCGACTGGGAGGCAAGGGGCCTCGTGAATGCAAGCAGCCTATCAGCAGATTCCTTGCTGGAGGGTTGGCCCTGTCCAATGCCTGCCATGTTCCTTGGCCCATAGACCTGCCAGCTGTGCCTACAGACATGAAGGAGGGGCAGGATCTGGCCCCTTAAGAGAAGAAAGTTTGCTGATCCTTCCCCTACAGGACTAGCAACTTGGCTTGTTAGAAAAGCCACCAGAGATTAAACATTTTGAAAAAAAATCTCACTACAATATATAGCAGTGTTTTTCAACCTTAGGCACTTTAAGATGTGTGGACTTCAACTCCCAGAATTCTGGGAGTTGAAGTCCATACATCTTAAAGTGCTTAAGTTTGAAAAACATTGCTATAAACCAGAGGTCTTCAAACTTGGCCCTTTTATGACTTGTGGACTTCAACTCCCAGAATTCCTCAGCCAGGCATGCTGGCTGAGGAATTCTGGAAGTTGAAGTCCACAAGTCACAAAAGGGCCAAGTTTGAAGACCCCTGCTATAAACCAATACTGCTGGGTTTCCCCCACAATAGATTGGATGCGCTGCTACAACCTTTTCTGCTTCTCCTTCCATCCTGCAGGCACTTTGCACCCCAACTGCCAAGACAGCAGCGGGAGGCCGCGCCGAGACATCGGCACCATCCTGCAGATCCTCAACGACCTCCTGAGTGCCACGCGGCACTACCAGGGCATGCCCCAGTCGCTGACGCAGCTGCGGTGCCAGACGCAGTGCTCCTTGTCCACCCCTTCCCTGGATCTCAACAACCACACTACCTCAGAAAGAACGGCAGCTGCTGCTAACCAGCCCTTGCACTTGGGGGTCCAGTGCCCGAGCCAAGCAGCCACTTGCAAGCCCACTGGTGAGTCCACAAACCTTGATTTTGGGGGTCCCCCCCCCCTTTGTTTCTCCCTTCCCTGTCTTTCTTAGTCATCCAGGGAGGTGAAGATTGGTCTCTGAGCAGAACAGAAAGTCTTGGGTGGGTGGAGCTTGGGGGCGGGGCTTATTCTTGGGAGGGGCATGTGCAAAAATGGTGGTGGGATTCAAATATCTGAACAACCGGTTCTCGGTTTGGGATGCCGCTTCCGGAAGTCCATTCTGGGCCTGGGCAACAAAAAATTAGCTACCGGTTCTGCCAAAGTGGTGTGAACCCGCTGAATCCCACCTCTGGGCAGGATCAGTTATTGTTTTTGGGTTGGGACTGTCCTAATTTTGCAAGAGTTTAGAGCAGCATCTGTGGAATATCCAGGATTGTTTTTGTTACGGTATTATAAGTACTCCTCAACTTACGACCATTCGTTTAGCGACTGTTCAGAGTTACGACAGCACTCAAAAAAATGACCTCTCCTCATACTTAAACAACTGTCACAACATCCCGCGATCAAAATTCAGGCGTTTTGGCAACCGGCATCTATTTAGAACGGTGGCAGCATCCCAGGATCATGTGATCCCCATTTATTTTTTAAAGTTATATGTCACTCATCTCACCCTGAAAAGCGACCCTGGGTGGCTTATAATTAAGATCAACCTTCCCCGCCAGCGTACGATAAGCCAAATCGGTGGGAGAAGCCAGATTCACTGAACAACTGTGGTTAAAAAAAGATTGTAAAATGGGGCGTGACCCACTTAATGTCTGCCTCACATTGACAAGAGTTCTGGTATCCCAATTGTGGTCATAAGTTGAGGATTAGCAGCATTGTTATTTGCAGCAGCATTAAAGTAGTTGCGATTAACTTATTTACTTGTAATAAATGGGGCTCAATCTGGAACGTCTGAAAGGGGGTGAACTTGGGTGCCTGTAAGGTTGAAAAAAGAGTTTGGGGAATCCTAGTTTGGAGAAACAATGGTTTAAGTTGGAACTTTGAGCTCTTTGTTTTACATCGTTTTACCCCTGCCTTCGGATTTCCAGCATTGTGACATTGGGCAATGGAGAGGAATAGACTGCCAGAGAAACTTAAGCTGCAGTGAACTTTTTTGAATGATTTAATTGGATTCGTATGCTGAATTCCTCAGGCGGGGTAGAACTGGTGCGATTCGTTGTTACTCATCCAGAAAAATTGCCTGAAAGGCGGAAAAAGTGGGCTTCCCTGTATAAACCAGTCTTACCCCTGATGTAATTTTTTTTTTTGCTGAATTCTGCTGTTTTACTGAATCCTTTGCCAAAGAAAGTTTATGGATGGGTGGGGTTTTTTTTGTTTGTTTGTTGGTTTGTTTGTTGGGAAATCTAAAAAAGGCCAGGAAGTGCCAGTCATTACCAGAGTTGCAGGATGCCCCGAAGGAAGGGACTCAATAAACCATAGAGTGCTGTCACCGTGATACATTCATGAGGAAGCGGCTGAATGCCTTAGCCATGATGAACATTTGTGAGAATGACAGCAAGCAGTAGGCACGCTCTGTCTCAGGGGTCTTCAAACTTGGCCCTTTTCTGACTTGTGGACTTCAACTCCCAGAATTCCTCAGCCAGGCTGAGGAATTCTGGGAGTTGAAGTCCACAAGTCAGAAAAGGGCCAAGTTTGAAGACCCCTGCTCTATCTGAAATGAGATGCCTGTTATCTGTAACTCTTATCTGAAATAAGCAGGATGCCTGTCTATCCCAATAGTTGGAATATTGTAAATTATATGGGGGTATTGTATTTCAGGCCCCTTTTCAGCTGTAGCTCAAAAAATAGGAGCTATGTGGACTTAACGATTAATTTTTCCGGAGGTATGACCTTATTCTCAGAATTCTTGGATGTGTATTGCATCAGTTCCCTTCCTGGAAAATAACAACCGCCTCCGCATGTTATGGTTCTCACAACCGAGTCTATTTCTCCAACATGCAATTAGCTTTCTTCCTCTCATGAGTATGTGTGGCAGTATACAACCCTGTGAGGTAGGATAGTTTGTGATCTGGGCCTTGTGGTCTTGGTTTTCTGGATCGCCTCGTCTAGCAACTTGAAGATGTCTGGAGTTCAACTCCCAAAATTCCAGCATGTTGACTGAGGAATTCTGGGAGTTGAAGTCCAGACATCTCCCAAGTTCTGAGATTGAGAAACACTGTTTGAGTGTGATCTTGACTGATGAAATATTATTGGTTTGTCATTTTTTAAGTATAGGTGTTTTTACGTTTGTTTGCTTTGTGGGAGCTCTGGCATACGTGTCAAAGAGTGTCTTGCTTTGGTCCCTGCCCCAAATGTCAGCTCTTCCTGCAGGTGTGCAAAACCTCTACCCCATAATCCACTCCAGCCCAAAATGCAATAAAGGAACTGTGAAATACGACCTACATTTCCTTTCTTTCAAGATCAGCCCAACACTTCCTCCTGTTTTTCTCATTGGCCTTGGCTGAAGTCCAAAAGCACAGCCTGAGTTGATTATTTCTTGGGAAAGGAGGCCACCAGGAAATTCAAAACTAGATTTCCTGCTGAGGAATGAAAAAAAAATCTTCCTCTTCAATATCACTGCTGAGTCCCGTAAGGGAGATAGGGCGGTATACAAATCTAAATAATAATAATAATAAACCTGCTAGGGTATGTTCTTGAAAGTCAGGAATTAAATGTGACTTACCTGTGGCATGAACTCGGACAGTAAATAAATGCTGGTTTAGAGCAGTGTTTCTCAACCTCAGCAACCTTTCAAGATAAGTGAATTTCAAATCCCAGAATTCCCCAGCCAGCATGCTGGTTTAGAGCCACCCCGAGCTCTCCCTCTGAATTTTTTGCAACTAAGTTATTCCATCCATCAACCTCCTTTATTAACTGTTTATCAGGATTAATAAGGCCTAGGTCACTGGCACCCTGAAGCATAATGGAACAATAGATTATCTATTTGCTTTTGCTAATAGATGGCATTAACTCATTGCCTGCCCAGGAGACCTTAAATTTGTCTTCCGTCAAGACTTTTGATTACTATTTTATCAACTTCGAATTTGCATATATGTAAATAGACTGCCTGTTGCTTAGTGGAGAAATGATAGCTGGATTAAAGTCTGCAATTTGATTCCCACTCTTTCTTCACCACTGTTCAGTGAGTGTGTTTGTATGTGTGAAAACAGTCCTTTCCCCATTCATACTTCCCTCCTCCTCCTGTGTGTTTGTGGGCATCTTTTCCACTGGAAAGTGAAATATGGCTTTTATTTTTTATTTTGCTTGACATGGCGTGGGTTTGGGAATAGAGAGGGCAAGTAAGTGATAATAAAAGACGCATTTGTTTGAAACAGGCAGGGTCGTTAAAGCTTCTACAATCCGAATCTCCTTTAAGGTTCCTTGATGACAGAGGCTGAGTTTGAAAGAAAGTATGGGAATTGTAGTCCCAGCCTATCTAGAGCAGGGGTCTCCAACCTTGGCCACTTTAAAGCTGGCTGAGGAATTCTGGGAGTTGAAGTCCACAAGTCTTAAAGTGGCCAGGTTGAGGACCCCTGATCTAGAGGACTTTAAGTTGGAGAAATTAGTGACTTCAAAATATTTGCACATCTAAATCCATCTCTACTGTCGGCCCTAGAATTCAGGTTTGGGTCTACTTGGTTTGAAAAACCTGAAGTGGACAATTCATAGGTTTTAGTGCTCTGAACACTGAATTTCTCAACCTTGGCCACTTTAAGACTTGTGGACTTCAACTCCCAGAATGCCTTAGCCCATTACATGCCATCAAGTTGGTTTTGACTCCTATTGGCCTTTATTGGTCTTCGCATCATGTATAGTAGACTAATTTGAGCCTGGTCATTTGTGCCTCGAGTGAGAATTCTGAATGGATTTGTTTGATGATCTGCTTCCTGGCTGTCGATAGTATTCTCAGGAGTCTTCTCCAATACCAGATTTCAAAAAATCCCTGTCTTTTTCAGAATCCAACTTTAGCATCTGTGGCGTGTCAGAAGAAGAACAAATAACATTGCATGATTCCGAATATCTTTTTCAACTATGCTAATCGCTGGAGCAGACTCCTACATTTTTAAATGTTTGCAGGAGAGAGAAACTAGGCTGAGGAGAACTTTTTTTATTCTGTAATTGGTAGGAGAAGGCCCCAATGGGCAAGTTTCTCTGCTCCATAGTAGCAAAGCTGGAATAGGAACATTTTGGGTAAAGAGAACCAGCCTCTTTTCTGGGGCAGGAGCCAAAAATTATGTAGCAGAACGGGAAGGAGCAATAAGAGCTAGCCATTTTCTGCTGGGGACAGAAAGAAAAGGGAGAACAGGAGTCCCAGGCCTTTCCTTGCCTCCTGTTCTTGGCTTTGGGTTGTAGACTCTTATTTTTTCTCAGACTAAAAATGACAGGAAAGTAAAGGGTCTCAGAATAACATAGTTGGAAGGGACCTTGGAGGTCTTCTAGTCCAACCCCCTGCTCAAGCTGGAGACCCTAAATCAGTGATGGCGAACCTTTTAGAGACCGAGTGCCCCAAAAATGGCCCCGCCCCCGCTCCACCCCCTGCCCCGCCCCCACCCCGCCCACCTGCCCACAGGGCCACTCACTGCCTCCAGGGCCCACCGCAGATCGCCCAGGCAGCCCAGCAGCGCCATGGCGGCCACGCCCTCTGCCCACGCCCCGCAGCATCAACTGTGTGCAATGAGGCGTGAGAGCAGAGTCTTGTCTACGTTGCCTGGCTGCCATGTTCTTGGCTGCGCTGCTCCGTGTGGGCCACATTCAGGGGCGACTCTCTTCCAGGGGGGCTGCTGGTGAGGACGGGGTCGTGGGGGGGAGGCGAGGCTGGGGCAATGGCACATGTGCCCACAGAGAGGGCTCCGAGTGCCGCCTCTGACAAACGTGCCATAGGTTCGCCACCACTGCCCTAAACCATTTCAGACAAATGGCTGTCCATTCTCTTCTTAAAAACTTCCAGTGTTGGAGCATTCACAGCTTCTGGAGGCAGGTTGTTCCACTGGTTGATTTTTCT